AGCTCTTGAGAATATGATGAAGTCGGGGGCCTTGCACTCAGAGAGAGTGTGTACACAACGGTGTATGAGTTTGGAAAACAGTTTGTTGCTGGCTGGCCCGGCGACTCTGCTCCTAGGAGTGTGTGTTCATACAGAGAATAGCACACTAGGACCATGGGAGCGTTATGCATCATAGGGCCAGGCTGCAAACAGTGGTCAAGCCCATCTGCTGATGAGCAGAGAAATAAGATGTGGTTCATCTGTACAATGAAATGTTACTTGATCATAACAAGCATTGGGTGTAATATCAGTGATCTTTGGAAATAAGGAAAAGAAGTCAAATGCTCTGTATTGAATAATCTCACTTAGGTGAGATGTCCAGAATAGGGAATAGGCAGAAATGAGGTGGATCATTGGTAAGACCTAGGGGAAGAGAGGTATTGGGACTGCTAAAAGGTATGGCATTTCTTTTTGGCATCAAGAAAGTTCTGGAAGACTGATTATGGTTACATAGCCTATGAATATACTAAAATTCCTTAGTTGTGCACTTCAAGAATGTGATTATTATGGTATGTGAATTATGTCTCCATTTAAAATTCTAAAGTTAAGTGTTTGGAAAGTCGGATATTTAGAAAGCTCTCAGCCTGGGCAATAGCAGACCTTTAATAAACTGTTAATCATATTTTCCCTAAGATTTTTTAAAAAGCGTATTTATTAAACTGTGTAAAACTAGTAACTGAAATTTACCAAAGGTCTCAAAGCAGTAATGGCATACCATTGATCTCTCTCAGCTGTGTAGCAGTAAACAGTTTCTTGGAGAGGGAGCCACACAGTGTAAGATGATTTCAGTGACTTTGCTGCCCTCACAATGATACAGCCACCCCAGTCGGCCTTTAATTACTCCCATTAAGACTCTCATGTCTGTTTCTCTTGTGGAATTAATTTGGTTAGTATCACATACCAAATTGGGAATAGAATTTATAGCTGGTATATACTCTTGCAATTTAATGGTCTCAGTTCTTATTGAACATTTAAATCTGAAAATTGAGATGTATACTGCCTTGGTAAATGATAATGGTGAAATATTTTCTGCTTTGCAAGTAGAATTGAAAATCCCTGTAATTAGTTTCTTTTCCCTTTCTACTCCCCCCAACACACTGGTTTCTCAAGTTATGAATTCAGTTTCTTTGTTTATTCTAGCCATGTAGTTTTTCTTATTGCATACCCGTTTAATTTTTAATTTCTCATTAAAAGTAAATATGGCTAATTCCCCCATCAGTATTCAAGAAATCTTCCATGTCTCTGCCACAGTCTTGATACGGTGCTGTCTAGTGTATGTTACCACATAATTAAAATGGTGTTCTGTTTGTCATCGGTGCATCTGAAGTGACTCGCAGGTTTATTTCTGTGGAGCTGACACAGTGTTCTGAAAGCAGGGTAATGTACATCGCATGGTGGGAAGATTGTTACATCTGGGCAGTGAATAGAGAAGAACTCGTAGCTGTCCTGGTTTTCTGGTTGTGTATGCTGGTTTTATAAACTTGGTCAGGAGCCCTCGACTGGGAAAGTCCTAGACTCCAGTGGGGAGCCTTTTACTGTTTTGGTGAGCCATCATGTTGTCTGGCTGCTTTCCAAGTACTCATGTTCATACCCCAATGTAGTAATAAGTGTGGCGGGGCTTTGTCCCCAGCACCCCGGCTGCCTGCTAGCTCATGCCCGAAATAACAACATACAAATTGTATTCTTTTAAACACTGCTTGCCCATTATATCTAGCCTCTTCTTGGCTAACTCTCGCACCTGGACTAGCCCATTTCTAATAATGTGTGTAAGCACCCCAAGGTGCGCTTACCGGGAAGATTCTAGCCTACGTCCATCCTGAGTCGGAGCTTCATCGCGTGTGTCTCTGAGAGCAGAGCTATCTCCCGTCTGTCTGAGGAGTCTTACCTCACTTCCTCTTCCTCCTGTTTACTCCTCCCACCTATGTTTTAACCTATCAGGGCAAGCAGTTTCTTTATTTAATTAACCAATGAAATCAACAGATTGATATATGACACTCCCACATCACCCCAAAAAGTGCTGTTCTTAGCCTTCTGTCTTACTTGGGGTTCCTATTGCTGTGCAAAAACACCATGAGCAAAAGCAAGTTGGAGGGGAAAGGGTTTCTTTGACTTATAATTCCACAGTTCCAAAGGAAGCCAAGACAGGAACTCAAACATGGCAGGAACCTGGAGGCAGAGCTGATGCAGAGGCCATGGAGGGGAGCTGCTTACTGTTTTGCTTCTTTCTAGTATTCTTAAAGAGCCTAGAATCACCAGCCCAATGGTGGTACCAAGCACAATGAACTGGACCCTCCCCCATCAATTACTAATTAGGAAAATGCCCTACAGGCTGACCTACACACTGATCGTATGGAGGTATGTTCTACAATTGAGGTCCCCCCCTCAGATGACTACTCCTTGTATCAAGTCAACATAAAATCATCTGGCACACCTTCCTCAGATAAACTGCCTACTGATTGCAGCAGGCATTGCTTAGTGCAGAAATCTGTCACTGTCCAAAGTGCTAAGAATAAGTAATGCTGGAGTGTTCTGCCTCAACTTGGAGAACTATAAAACCTGTATTAGTAACTTTTCTATTGCTGTGATAAAACACCGTGACCAAGGCAACTTATACAAAAAAGCATTTAATTGGGCTTAGGCTTCCAGCAGGTTAAAGTTCACAATGGCAGAGTGAAGTCATAGTGGCAGGAATAGATGAGAGCTCACACCTCAAACCTCACAAACAGGAGCCCGAGAACACACTGAAAATGGCATGATTCTTTTGAAACCTCAAAGTCAGCCCACTGTGACACACCAGCAAGGCCATACCACCTTGAGACCAAGTATTCAAAACACATGAGCCTATGGGAACCATTCACATTCAGACCACCGTAAAGCACCCTCAGAGGCTCGAGGAACATCTTGGAAGAGTGGGTGGAAAGATGTAAGAGCTGAGAATGGGGAGGGAGATGTGTAGGACATGACGTAGTCATGACACTCATGAACATGTCCGCTGCAGCCATGGTTGTCTACATAAGGTCTGTACAAGAATGGGGCCGTCAACACTTCATCATGGATAAAGTAGGAACACGTGAGGCCACACCCTTCCCCAAAGGATTACAGCAATCAAAGCTTGTATATGTGTGTTGGGGGTGTGTGTATCACTTTCTTCAGTGGTATAGCCACAGGTAAGTGGCTCTCGCTCCACTCAGTGGCTCCCTTCCACACTGCAACCAGTAACTCTAAATTCACAAGAAGACATGAAAGGATGTGGGGAGACTCTTTTGAAGGGTGCCAGTGGGAGAGGAAGTGAGTTGGTGTGAGGATGACTAAAATTCGTTATGTAATATATAGAAGAACAAGAAACTGAGTTTTCTGGACTAATTTCAACATCAATGAATGCCCCTATCGAAATGAAAATGCTAGGACTTTCCCAGAACTTTCTTTTCCCCTAGACTGTCACCTCTGCCCATTTTTCCTGTGTCTCAACCTGACTCCCCACCCCCTACTTTCAGTTAGTCCTTTCAAACCCCTGATCCTTTTTATTGGCCTGTCAATACCTCCAAAGTCATGTCAATACCTCCAAAGTCAATACCTTCTGTATTAGTAATTGTGCTTATCAAACCACTCCAGAACTTACTGCTCCGTGGTTCAAATTAGGATGGGCTCCTTAGGCTTTACCTCTGTGTGCATCTCAGGGTTAGCTGGCCAGTGGCCAGGACCATTGGGGCACAAGAGCCTGTGCCGACTAGCCCAGACTCTAGCCCACACAGGAACACACGCCTGAAATGCATCTTGGGGCTAGGTTTGGGCCTCATGTATCATCTGTCCCTCCACTTTCTGTCATCCAAAGCGTGTCACAATGCCAGCCTCAGTCCGGAAGGTAGAGTGGAAGACTGCGGACTCACAGAACTCTCCCTTGTCACTAACTCAAAGGAATTCCCGTGAACACAGCAGTGCTTGCTGTCACCGCCTTTGGCAGAGCTGTGTACCTGTGTTGTTGGGCTCCCTGTCTGTGCTTACAACATCCTGTGGTCGTGGTTGGTTTTACTTCTTGGTGACAAGTGAGCTTATAAACAAGGACCACATTTTTTCTGTGTAGAATTTGGCACATAGATAAATTTTTAAAGTTTATGACTAATAAAAATTGAGGAAGTTGACATCTGGTAGTATGAAAACTGGGCTAGACCATAACATGCTCACAACCCTACTTTTTGGCATTTCAAGTGTTTCTGCTAAAAATAATAGAAGAGATAAAGAGACTTGGCAAGGATTTGAGTTAAATTAGTGTTTGCATGCTGTCTTTGCAGGGTCATCATGCAAGTTGTCATTTTTACCTTTTCTATGTGGATGATGTGTGCTTCTGTCTGTATGATATGTATGTGGATAGATGTTTGTGATGTGTGTATGACTTAGGGTCTGTGAGTGCTGGCACACGTGTGCTATGGCATGTGGGTGAGGGTCAGAGCCAACCTCAGATGTTGCTCCTCACTCTGGATAATGGGATTCCGGTTTTCATGTTTACGTGGCAAGCTCTGCACACTGAGCCTTCTCCCTAACCCATGTCTTTTCTATTATTATGACTGTGTGTATTGTGGGTGTGTATACCACAGAGCATATGTGTAGGTTAGATGACAACTTTGTAGAGTTGGTTCTCTCCTTCCACCTTTTTTTTGTGGGTTCAAAGATCAAGCATAGGTTGCCAGGCTTACTTTTTAATTTAACTAACTGACTAATTAATTAATTAAGAAAGACGCATTACAAGTTCATGGCCATATTCGTCAGCCTGCCTGTCCTTAAGTCCACTGGGTTCTGGGATAAAGTTTCTAGTTTAGAATGTGAAATTAAGAAAGAGTTAATAAAAGTAAGTGTCTCTGTTGGGATGAGAAGTAGGCTGTGCTGGTGTGTACTCAACTTCCAGTGAGTGTCCTAGCAGCACACAGTTCTCAGCTGATGGGCCTCACGTGCACTGTGTGTTTCAGGTGCTGTTCTCTGCGTTCCTTCCTGGGTTCCTAATCCCGAGCAGAATTCCCCGTCTGGGCTCTGCTAGCCAGCCATGCAGCGGAGATCAAGAGGAATCAACGTTGGGCTCCTCATGCTGCTCTCTCAAGTGTTCCATGTTGGGATCAACAACATTCCTCCTGTCACCCTGGCAACCTTGGCTCTCAACGTCTGGCTCTTCCTGAATCCTCTGAAGCCCCTGCACTATTCCTGCATCAGCGTGGAGAAGTGTTACCAGCAAAAAGACTGGCAGCGTTTGCTGCTGTCTCCCCTGCACCATGCAGATGACTGGCATTTGTATTTCAACATGGTGTCCATGCTCTGGAAAGGAATAAAGCTGGAGAGAAGACTGGGAAGCAGATGGTTTGGCTACATCATCACCACCTTCTCCCTACTCACGGGGGTGGTGTATTTGCTCTTGCAGTTCACTCTTGCCGAATTCATGAATGAGCCCGACTTCAGAAGGAACTGTGCTGTCGGCTTCTCAGGTAAGGTGGACACACTGTCTCAGGAAGTACCTGTGATGGCCGTGAGGGAGGCTGCCTGTTTCCTTTCCTAGTTGGTGAGAGGGCAGGATCCGGAGTGGTTCATGACTGCTGGGGTCTGCATCTTGAAGAGCAAACTGGCTAGGGTAGAAGAAGGCATTATTTAGGCCATCTCACTTTATGCTGCATCCCCATTCTGGTGCACTTAGACCAGGGCCTGCTAGAAGATGGTTTTATAGTACTGGACGTGTGCACCTGACTCCCTCATGGTAATGCTATGGAGGGACTCGTGGGCGTCTTTAAGGAAGAGTGTTCTTGAAAACTGAGTGTGCCTGTGAAGCAGGTTCAGGGTGCACTAGTTACCAACTGGCTTGAGTCCAGTGAGGCATAATACACTTGTCTGCACCAGGTAACACTAAGCAAGTGGAATGCTTACATATAGGCAATCAAGGGTTCACTATGAGCTGGTCCCCGAGTCTCAGAAGGCTTCCAGGCAGATGAGGTCTTGACTGTGTGTATATCCCACTTGCAGTTGAAGCCTCTAACTTTACCCCAGTACACCCAAGGAATTACCGAAGGGGAAGCCAAGAAGACAACCTGTGCCACCTTTATCTTAGCATGTTGCCCTTGATATTTTCCATGGTTTTTCTTAGGAATCATAAACATGGAAGGGGGAGAACTGAGTTGGTCCAGGGTTACTGTGCCTCTCAATAATGTCATTAAAATAAATATCCAGCCATGATGGGAGGTGTGTCAGCAGTTAAGAACATGTACTGCTCTTACAGAGGACCCAAGCTTGATTTCCAGCATTGTTGTCATCTGTAGCTCTACTGGAGTACACATCTTGCTTCCAGTGTTTTTCCATAGATGCTACAAGAGTATGTGTTACTGGTATTTGTTCATTGTTCATATCCATATAGCAAAAAATTAGCTGCTTTAAAAGGACAGTTCCCTGGTATTTGATACCATTGCTGGTGGCTCATTCCCACCTTCTGTGTTCTGTACTTGGAAGCAGGTTGAACTTCCATGTTGGGATCCATCAAAGGAATGACTGACATGCTCTCTGACTGTATTTCAAAGCAGAAAGTTGGATGTAATAATTAGTAATAGTGTTTAGTCTCTTTGTATCCAGTGATTCTCCCTGAATCGGAATTGTTGATATTGGTGTGTTATTTATTCTCTTCTAGGAGTTTTGTTTGCCTTGAAAGTTCTTAGCAATCATTACTGCCCTGGAGGCTTTGTCAACATTATGGGTTTTCCTGTCCCAAACAGATTCGCTTGTTGGGCAGAGCTGATAGCCATTCACTTCTGCACCCCAGGGTAAGTCTTTCCTGTTGGGGAATAAACATGGGGCCCTCTATGATCCTTATAGAAAAGGAGTCCAAATAATAGAGGGAACAAGTTATCTTCTATGTGATGTTGGCCTGAAACCCCAGCATTTAGGAATCTGAGGTTCTAGAGAAACTCCTGTCTCAACAACCTGGCTTATAAAGAAATTCCCTGTCTCAAAAACTAAGAGAAAAACAAAATGAGTTGCTTTTAAACAATGGAGTATATTTTTTAACCATGAAAACAGAGTTAAGTTACACAATTTTGATATTAGGCATTTCCTGGGTTGAACCCTGTCAGCTGCCGAACTGTAATTTAGGAGTTTCAGTCTCTTTCCTTGTAACTGGGAACAAGAGATCATAGTGTGCAAACTTGAGGATCAGTATTAGCCAGTCAGGAGTGAATTCTAATAACAATATTCCAAATATACCAGTATACATAGATACCACAGAAAGATTAAAAAAAATGCCTTGGACTCTAGTCTGATGCTTTGGGGCCATGTTAAACGAGAAATTGATTTTGTAATAAACTCTTTAAAATTTATTTCCTTTGTGAGAAATAAGAGAAAAGCAGTGGGAAAGTGACCTCTTCTCTCTCTTCTTCTATCCAAAAAGTGCGGAATCTTTCTCTCAGCCTTCTTTACTACTTTCTGTGTCTCTTTATATGTCCTCAGTCCTCCAAAACTTCTATGGCTAATTTTAGTCAGCTAGTAGCTAGCTCTGCCCTCTGATTCAAAGTAAACTTTATTGGGAGTCTTGGGAGTGTCATTGTGATCAAAATATCCCACAACTGTAGACCCTGCTCTATTTACTTTGCCTTTCCTCCTTTGTTGACGTGGCTTCCTCAGAAGCCCCTCCGTAGAACCACCTGGGCCCCCAAGAACTACCATTTTGATTTGTGTGACTTGTTGAGTACTACGTTCATTTCAGAGCACGTTCCCTGTGTTGTGTGATGGCCTAGTGACTTGGACCCTTCTTTAATGCTAATTCTCCATCATGGCAGCATTGGCAGCTGGAGTATAAATGGCATGTGTGTGACACTGGACACCACTCATTTACAATTGTCTTGTTATTTGTGATCATTCAAGGAGGAAGGCCCAACAAAATCTTCAATGTTTTCTTTGAAAAGAGGTCTAGAGGCCTAGTGATGTCTGTCTCTTATCTGAACAGCCCCCCTCTCTGTTACTCAGTTCCTCCACCCCTTTGATGAGACTTGGTTTTCTGTGTCCCCAATAGACTCTTGTCTGTGCCTAGCTGCACTCAACATTCATATGAAAATCACCCCCTCTGGTGCTTAAACGTCCACCCTGTGGTGCACTCACTGAGAAACAGTGCTCTTTAACATTCTGAAGCCTTTCTGAAGGCTCAGCTTGCTTCTTGCTTGCTTGCTTTTTCTTTTTCTTAAGGGTCTCCACTTACACTTACCTCATTCTGGGTGTAGGGATGTAATAACCCAGAAATTAAATGAAATTTCCCATCTCTAAAGCTTGAAAGAGTAAATTTTTCGCTTTTCAAGGTTTGCTTCAAATGATAAACTTTTAATATTAAAGCATCTCTATTTAGGTATGTGTCCAGAAACAGATCAGGCTGATCACTGGTCTAGAGAGCCGAGAAAGCAAGTGTTTCTTGAAGACAGATCTATAATCTCAAAAAATAAGAGAAATAACTTATAAAAAAAATCCCCATTGGGGGACACGAATGGGGGGGGGGGAGGCTGGGAGAAACTAGAGCTCCCAGTACCGTCCGTTGTGAACTTCCTGGTGACTGTCAAATGGAATTTTCATTGGGGAAACATGGAAAGTCTTCAGAACAAAACACGCATTTCTTGTTAGAACTATTTGAGCTGCCCTATGGATGGGAGCAAACTTTTGCTGTGTCTCTGGGTTTCATAAAGCCATGGTTGGTAGCTGCCCCAGGTACTCTCAGTGGTATGGAGGAACGTGTCCGGAAAAGGCCACCAGTAGGCATCATGCAAGAGGGAAGTGCTCACACTCGATTCCACTCAGCTCCACACTTCATTTCCTTTCTCTCCCTGGGACCCTTTGTAGTGCTTGTGTTTGAGGAGGAGTCGCTGCTCCCAAGGCAGCTCAGGATGGGTGGGAAGGTTAAGTCCCCAGAAGAGGTTTTTGCCCTTCCCCACCTAGGCAAGGCTTGTCTTCCAGCATAGATCAGGAGTCTCTGCAGAAAGGTAGGCGCAAAACTGAAGTTCAGAGGAATAAACAGCACCAAGAGTGAGACGGCCACTGAGCAGCCGAGCTGGAGGACAGAGGCCAAGTGTGACTGGACCAGCAGTGCCATTCTAGCTGTGTGCTTTTGGGCAGATCTGACAGCCTCCCTGGGCCTCGTTTTCTCCACCTGTGGACTGAGGAAGATGAATGGCTCACAGAGAGCAGATTTAATTTTGTGGACATTAAGTTTATTCGATTATTTGATTCTGCTAACCCTCCTCAAAGTATGGGAGGAATCAGATACAAAAGAAAAGAAAAAAAATAACTGAGGAAAGAAATCGTAATTTAGGAATTGATTTATATTGTAAACATGTCAAAATCCACAAAAATAACAGAATGTATTTCCCAGGCCCTGCTGCAGCATTTCCCACACAGGTTTGTGCTGCCGAATTTCTAGTGTCTTCCGATGAAAATAATCTGGGGCTTGCGTTTCTGGAGTGAGGATCAGGGTGTTTCAAACATAGGTTTTTATTAACTAGTTCAGAACACACCCTTTCATAATCCATCATGTAACTCTGGGTTCTTGTTCAATCTGGGAAAGCCTCTTCAGGCTGTTTTCATGGACAAACTATAAAACCCTGGGCTTTTCTAGTTTTTGTTTTGTTTAGCTTTGTGTGCACAGACCTCTTTCAGATGTTGTCTGACTGACTTGAATGCTGTTACTTAGCGGTAACGGTGTAATATGAAATTTGATTTCTTCCCTGATCCCAGTACTCTGCTGATTATTAAGTAACTAAAGCACTTTAATCCTTTTTAGTGTACAGTTTTCTTTGTAAATTCTGTTACCGGCTGTCCTTACTGCTCACTCCTGCTTGTAGCTTGGGGTAGACCTTGAGGACGGTTGGCTTGGGCATCGCAACTGCCCAGTCCCTAGTGTATCTGTGTGATTCCTCAATTGAGACCGAAACTGGTACATTGAAACTGCCACCTTGTCATGTTTGTCACAGGGGAACTTCTATTTAATTTCTCTTTCAGCACTCGTCCTGGTTTGCTTTCTGCTGCTGTGATAAAAACCATGACCAAAAGCAACTCAAGAAGGAAAAAGCTTATTTTGCTTACAGTTTACAGTCCATCGCTGATGGAAGCCAGCTTGAGGTGGCCACCCTGAGGCAGGATGGACACAGGCCATGATGGAATACTGCGTACTGGCTTGTTCCCTGTGGCTTGCTCACTCTGTTTCCTTATCATCAAGGACCCGCTTGCCCAGGGGTGGCACCATCCACAATAAGCTGAACCCTCCCACATCAAAACATGCCCAAAGACCAGTCTGATGGAGGCAATTCCTTAATTGAGGGTCGCTCTTCCCAGGTGATTTCTTTCTGAGCTGACAGAAACCAACCTGCACAGCTATCAGTACCGAGTCTTCTGCTCACGGCTTTACATGCTTGGCAAGTGGAAGAGTTTTGTAGGCGTTGAGTTTTGAGACCATGACTGTCCCGACAGTACTTGCTAAGCTGGGATTCGTGCTCTGCCTGTTAATGGCCCAGTAGGGAGCACACACAGTAGGTAGTCCAACCATTTCTGGAAGCCATTTCTGCACAGTAATGACTAACTTAACTATACACAGAAATGAAAACTTGCTCAGCTTCCACTTAACAGAAACCCCCAAACTGTGACTGCTCCATCCCCAACTGATGTGGGAGAACCCCCAAACTGTGACCGCTCCATCCCCAACTGATGTGGGAGGAAGTGTGGAATGGGGGAGATTGAAATGGAAAGAGGCAGCAGTTTTAACTGATGATGGCTAAGGCATCTCATATTCACAGATTTTACCAAAATGCATGTTTACGTGAGCACATGGTCGGGACCCCTCCTGCAGCTCTGGCAGGCACGGGACCTGATCTTTATTTTCTCCATTGTAAAAGGCTGTAACCCTAGCAGTTATTAATTAAATCCTGGCTAAAGGAGGACTGGAGGACTGCTTCTCCCTCCCCTCCCCCTCCCCCTTGTGTGTATGCTTTTGGGTCCATTTTCAGTGTTGACTTAAACCATAACACTGTTCCCTTCCCCAAAACACTGTTCTAGCGTCTTCCTGATTTGGTGAAAGCTGCTGACTGAAATGAAACAGATGAGAGGCATTTCTAGGGAAAGTAGAATTTGGTTGTGAGTTGATGAATGAGCAGCTTCTTCTGGAGGGAAGGTGTGTGTATACGGAGGGTGTGCAGGCTAGTCTGTGTCACCTTGACACAAGCTAGAGTTACCTGAAAGGAGGGAACCTCAACTGAGAAAGATGCCTCCAGAAGATCCAGCTGAAAGGCTTTTTTTTTTTTTTATTAGTGATTGATTTGCTGGGGGTGGGGGACAAGCCCGTTGTGGGGGATGTTATCCCTGAGCTAGTGGTCCTGGGTTCTGTGAGAAAGCAGGCTGAACAAAGCCTCAAGGAGGAAACCAGTAAGCAGCACCCCTCTATGGTCTTTGCATCAGCTCCTGCCTCTAGGTTCCTGCCCTGATTGAGTCCCTACCATGCCTCCTTCAGCGATAGACAATGATGTGGAAATGCAAGCCCGATAAACAGTTTTCTCATCAACTTGCTTTTTGGTTATAGTGTTTAATTGCAGGAATAATTACAGGGAGGAGGTGTGGGTATATGGAGGGGAAGTTGTCTGTATTCAGTGTTAGGAAATAAGGCAGGATGAGGCGTGCTGTTGAAATAGGAAGCGGCGGGGCTGCGTCCCCAACACCCCAGCCGCTTGGCTAGCTCATGCCCGAAATAACAACACACAAACTGTATTCATTTAAGAACTGCTTGGCCCATGAACTCTAG